ATTTTTAGAGGCCATGTTAGGTTTTTGTTATGTTTTGAACTTTGCATGGGTGAACCATTTTATAGATGAATTTTTGGTGTCCTCTAAGAGCATCCTCATTTTGGTCAAGACCCATTCTATAGAGGAAATTCTCACCACTTTCAGTTTTCTTGATTTGAAAGCTTGAGGTGATGCCGTGCCTTTGAAGCCGCATTTGCTGGCTAGATTCGGGAGACTCAGGTATTTGATAAGCAGAATTACAATCCATTACACAAAATCATAGCAATCATTAGTAAGATGTGTCAAAGCCAAAAGTCTTTGAATGGACATGCATCATGCAAGCAACGGAAAATGAACACAGCTAACTTTCGGGAATTGTAAGCACGGCTTTGAGCCATGCCGTGCCCACCTGGTTGCCCTTCTATTTGTGCAACTTGGCTCATAGATCTCAGATGGGTCCAACATGATCAAAATATATCAAAACATATCAAAACACAATAGAGAACAATATAGAATATTATAGAATATAGAATAAACCTAGTTTAATTAATTCTATTTAAAGTTCAACGCGTAGAGTTGTGCTGTTTGGTGATTGCTGTGACTGTTGGATGACGCGTGCTTTATTGTAATGTTTCAACATGAGGGGGTTGCGGGATGCGTGGAGCACGTGGACTCGCCGACGTGGGATCCATGGCGAGGTATCTACGGTGTCTTGAAGCAATTGTGCAAAGCAGGTTCCGATAGGATATTTTTTGAACCTTTTTCAGAAACACTTGTCTTTTTTTCTTGGATCTTCTCTGAAGTTCTGTTTGGTTCCCTTTGTCTTCCTCTGTTTTGGGGTCTTTCTGAACATTCTTTCAATTTGTGATGACATGTTGCTTGATTGTCTCTATTTCGCAAAGCGCGCATGCGTGTGGAAAATTGGAAACTAAGTTGCCCGATGCTTGCGGTCAACCGGGCGCATTTCCTACCACCAGGTTTACTATGATCCGTTTCTTGGGACGCAGTGGAGCTTTTCGTGTGTAAAGTGACGGTTTACCATGGACTGCGGTGACTTCGAGCAACCAACAAACAATCTCAACGAATCTAAATGAAATCTAAGAGAACTTTTGAGAAAGGCGCTTGGCCTGAAAGATGCTGAGGAAGACGCTGATATGGACATGGACCAGCAGGATTTCGAATGCGGTGCCCAAGCTCAAGGAGAAGGTCCCTTGGCTGGTGGTGGACGGACGATGGATGGGCATTAACTGTGGAAGTGACGTGTTTGATCATGTTGCCTGTGGTTTTTTCTTCGGAACTTGGATCCATGATGGTTATGGATGACCCATGCATACGGTGGAGCCCATGATAGGCTATCCGCATCTATCCGCGAATTATGCCTGGCCAATCCTGGCCATCACTTAGAATTGCCCAAGCCAAGCCCCAATCTCTTCAGCCACTGCCGGGTGCCCATGACCAATTTCCCATGGTTGACTGCTGGCGTTGTGGGCCACATGCTGGCGCAAGTGCTGGCTGCTGGCAAGCTGCCAGATTTGAGCGCCGACTCTACCTGCAGCGTGAGTGAGCAAACGTGGCTTCGAGGATTTGGGTGGCACGCTTTTTGGTAGATTTCGGGTCAGGGACCCTCGGTCCGGGGCCGGGGCCCGGGGAATCGTGATATGATTTCAATATATTTCAATCATGTTCCATCAAATTCTGTCAATATTTCATAAGGTTTCAATATGTTTCAATAAATTTCAAAATATTTCAAGCATTTTCAAGACGTTGATACTTCATCACACTTCTATAAAATGGTGGCAAGACCATTCAAAAAAGAAAAGCTTACTATAGAATAGGAATATATGAAAAAATGGTCACCTTTTACGCAATCTAAGTGAAGAGTTTTGTGTCAGGATGTGTCAGGACACCATTTTATAGATGTATTTTTTTATATTTTTCTATTTTTTTAAGTATTTTTTGTTTAATAAATCTTGTGGGCCCAGTTCTATGATTCTATAGAGCCTTGCTTGTGCAAAGCCCATGCTTTCAAGTTAAAGAAAACTGCTCAGGGCACCATTTTATAGACTTTTTTCTATGTTTACCTAGGTGTTTCCATTCTATAGAGGCACAGGATGCCACAGAGACTGTAATTTACAAGGGTTTCACTGCCAGGTGGTTCAGCGCGAGCAGCCATTATGAAGAGATTCTTGCATCAGCTGCTTCATTCACTCGAGAACGCACCCTGCATGTGGTGGATGCATTTGGTGCTTCTCAGGGAATGGCGACTCTTGGCTAATAGGGGATTGGGCCTCCGGTCCAGTGTCGTTCAATGAAACATGGTGAGCTGCGACGTATTGCGATTTTGTGTCTTCTGAGTTTGTTTGTTTTTACATTTTCTCTTTGGCGAAGGCGGCGTTTCGCCAAGCATGGCTACAATGGCCGTGCTTATGACATCAAGCTGAGCGTCCAGCACGATATCCTGACACAGAAAGGCTTTCAAGCTCTTTTAGAAGCTTGCCTGGAGCCACCTGCTTCCAAATTTGAGAAAGTTGATTGTGGTTGAGGGTGACAGGTGTTGAATAGTTTCAGCCTTTCCCATTGCAATGCCTTGAAATGCAATCTTGGCCATTTTATAATCCGCTTTTTCTGAGGCTGCTGCCTGGTGGGCTGCTCTTTGCAGGTCCCCCGTGCAGCCTTTTTGTCGGGGCATCGAGCAGCGTGCACGGCCGAAGCCATTTTCGCCCCTATGGTGACACCTGGCACTTTTCAGTGAGGCTAGCAAATGCAATTTGGTTGAACTTTGTACCTTGGCACACCTGGGCCGTAGAACGCCGTAGATCGGAATACTGTAGGTCGGAAAAGATCGGATATGTACCGAAGCGCTTCATTTTCGAAAGGCTACCTGTGCCGTTTGTCTTCTGAGGCAGTTTGTATGAAGGTCTTGATGGTGTTGCGCAGGAAAATCTACTATGTGTTTGAGCAGCCAGCGCAGAGCTGGGCCTTCAAACTCCCTGAAATGAAGGAGCTGATCAAGGAGTTCTCAATGCGACGTGGCAAGCAAGTGGCAAATATTGGCAAATATTGTGAGATATTGCGAGATATTGCGAGTATTTGCGAGTATGATACAACATGAAGCAATATGAAGCACATGTATGCAAGATTATGCAAGTTTTGTTGCTTTTGTGATCTTTTGTGGGCTTTGGTGCAGCGGCAGGTGGAAGGTTCTGACATGGATGTCATTTTTTGGCAGTGACTTGTTGAAGCCTACGCACCTGATCACCAATTTCAGGAGCGGGATTCCGGGACGGACCGTTGCGAAATGTGGGATGTTCAAGAACTTTCAAGAGTTTTCCATGGTTCTCCATGAATTTCTTGCATACTGTGCCACAATGTACCACACACCCCAGGCCAATCGACAAACTGCGTCGCACTATGACCAAAAAATGGAGAATTCGGCACAAGGTCTCTTGGAATCTTTTGGTCCTTTCTTCTTTTGAAATGTTTCGAACGTGTACAGTATGAACATGTATGAACATGTTAGATTTTTCAAGGCTTGTCAGTGTGCTCACACTTGACAAACACTGACCGGATCTGATAGACAAGCTAGCGTATGGCTTAGGCCCGCTTCGAGCGACGGAATGCGAAGCGGGCTGCTCCCCGCGTCTATCACGAGAAGGTGACGAAGAAGGACGGATCAGTTGGATGGCAAGGTGGAAAGGACCTGCACCTCAGCGCGGCCTACCCGGGCCGATTTTGCGAGACTGTGTTCAAGGTCTGGGCAAATCACTACAAAAGTCTAGAGCTGTGAGCCCGGATGACGCCGAGTTGGAGTGCGCGCCAAGTCGCGCAGTCTTATATACATACGCTTGGTATCGCTTGGTTTGTTTTGTGGATGCCTTTTGAATCCTTTTGAACAGGATGGGGCCGGCATCCATGTTCTGTAGCTTCATGTAATTGAAAAGCAACAGAAAATGTAAAGCTTGTACAGATTTGTGTACTTCATTGGATTTTGCAATTCACTTACCTAGATGGGACCCTAGATGATCCCAGATTTTCTTAGATGATGTGGCCAAGCAAGCGTCAGGCATGCAATAGTTCCCTGGCATTCCCTGGCACTGGCCCATCTCTTCAATCCTCTTCAGTATGTCATTCAATTTCGCTGTGGGATAAGCGATGCGGGAAGCACTTGGCAGAAACGTGCAGGAACACTTGGCCTGAGCGTCCAAAGCATTCCGAAGCAATCCAATGTAGTTGAAGAGTTGAATAGAATTGAGTAGAATATAGTAGAATTTAGGAACCACATGTTTTCGGTAGAAATCACCATATTTCTTTCCAGATTCTTGGTTGCCCATTCCCAGGCTTCTGAACCAGCAGAAGCCTTTTGGCAAGCAGCGCCTGCAGCAAAGGCGATTTTGTGGCATTTTGTGCATTTTTGTGCTATAGAATGGTGCCTTTTGGTATCTTGTGAGACAGAGGCACTATAAAATGTGGAACTGCTTTTGGCAGAGCATTTCTGGGTACTATAGAATAGAGCCAGATAGAGCCAGTATGAATGCAATTTGTTGGGACGTGGGGGGACATGGGATTGCAAGGGGGAAGTTGTGGATTCATTGTCTTTCCCATGCGTTTTTTGGCACAAATATCAGCGAAACCGCCCAACACCACACGTGCACTAGCCGACCGACATGATGGCTAAAGAATTCTGGGCGATTGATGAAACCCTGTTGTTGCTCATCATTGTCTGTGCAGCAGCTGGGACGCTGCTGTGGATGTTCAACCAGATTAAGTTGATGATTGGATGTGCGCAAGCCAAACAAGTAGCTGATGATCTACTGGCTGCGCAACAAGAGATCTTGGATCTACGTGAACAAGTGGCCAACTTGCAGTCGGACCTCAAACTTGAGAAGGAACGCTGTTTGCGCCTTGAAGCCTTCATTGATGGTGAGGCTCCAACGAGACCAAGTTCAGATCCAAATCCTTCTGTCCATTCAATTCGTCCACAGCACGTGTATTTTGCACCTAAATATGGTCACTGTTGGCACGCTGATCGAAATTGCCAGCATTTGCGCCGAGGGGCTGTTGCGCAACTAGTACCTTGTTCTAGGTGTGCACCACGCCACTTCTAAATTAATGTGCGCTGCAGCCAGTACATTATTATAGCACCTACCAACTTTTGCGCGCGAAGGAAAACAGCAGAGCATGAAGAGGTGTCTGATGGCAGGAAGGGTTGTTGAGGGAAAGACTTGGAATTTTGAGAGGTTGAAGGTTGCCAGTACTGTTTCTGCTTTTGACAGTTCGAACCTGGGCACTATAAAAAAGGGATACTGTAAATAGAGTCAATTCAAAACCGTTTCCAGGCAGAGCCAGCTGGACAAGAAGTTCCACCGGGAGA